TTCCAAGGTCAATTTCGAGTCACCGGTGCATGCTTGTGGACTGTGGGGGTGGGGGGGGGTGGGGGGGGGGGGGCATGATGGAGCAAAAACTAGATAGAAACTCCACAAGAACCTTCTTGCTGCAAATTCATTCATCCACTCATTCATTGGATATTTTTGGTCCTATTTACTTCTAAAATGCACGTTTTGCTTCTTGAGTGCACAAAGATTCACCAGATATTTTATTTAGATCAAAATGAGAAAAAACATCATTAAAATCAACAATTCTGCAGAACTGATGCAGTGCCGAGACTGCTCTTTCTTCGCCTCTTACTGGTAAAATTTGAAAGCTGGCCCCATTAAAGTGTGCCTTGAGGTTATTTTTTGGGTAACCGTCAGACAGGTAAGCACCTGAGTGTTGTAAGTGGAAGTTGAGGTTGCCACAGAGAGGAAAAGTTCAGCATTCAGCCACACTCAGTCGTCTCAAACCCACTATTCATAACTCCTAATTACGTGCCTTTGCAGCCATGAACGTTACAGGGCTCTTAATCAAACGTCTGTGTGATTTTTCTTGGGAATGTGGAGAATTTGAGCGTATACAATTTAAATGCACATGTAATTTTTATTTCTTCCATTAAAAGGTCTCCTTTTGATTTAGGGGGTAGGTGGTATTAAGATGGTTTTATGGTAGTTAGAAACGGGTAGAGGATCACATCTGGAGCAGAAAGCTAACGTTCTTGAAAAGTTTTCATCATTGTTTTCATCTGATTTGAATAAAGCATACCAAAGCTTAACAAAGAAATATTTATTTTGCAGTTTAAACTTGGATTGCACCTGCAAAAGTTATATTTGATCTCATTTCATAAATCTGCCTGTTTGGGGTTAACAGGTTTGGAGAAAAGAAGTAATGATTATTTATAAACAATATGATCGTTATTTACATGCTGAATACCTGGTTTAACTGAACATTTCAGACTTCAATAAGAATTGAACTCCATGTCACCAACACCCTGGACTCATCCTGACTCCCCATCATCATTGTAATAAGAACAAAAACAGCTTTAATCTGTATTTAATTAGATTGTTTTGTCCTGTTTTCATGCATAAGCTTTCTCCAATGTCTTAAGAAGAAAATACTTTAACAGGTTTTACAACAAAAACATTTCAAGTAAAGGGAAATTAATTTATTCAGTCATTCATCGGGGCTAACTTGGTACAAACGCACATAAAGCATGCCGGTAGAATACAAATAAATATATACTTTGATTAAAAATGCCAAACGAGGGGGGAAATTTTAAAAAACGATTAATTACAAAAATTAAATTAGCATTGAACTGCTGCCACCTGCTGGACAAGTGGCGTAAGTGTTCGTTGTAATTATATTGGCTGAGAGAAAGTGACGTCATCGGACAAACGAGGAAATGAAAACAATGTCAAATTTTTCTTTCGTTTTACGTGAATAAAACAGGTTTTCACTGACCTTGTACTTTATAGTTGTCTCGAGGCGGCTTTGTTTCACGTTTACGTAATTTTTGTGCTTTTGAAGGGAATTCGGAACACATTAAAAACAACCTTTACCAAAAGAGTTTGGTTTCGCAGAAGCATGGCAGACCCAAATCCTCTGGTTTTAATCGGTATCGGGTCCAGTTTTGCCTTCTCTTGTCTGTTTTATAGTCTTTATAAAGAAAAGAAGGCGGAGTTAAATAAGCTGAAGGTAAGATCTGCTGAGTGAGAAACCTCCAGCAGCAACAGCCCTTCTAATGGAGATTTAAACTTTCACCTGTAGCAAATACCCGTGTTCAGACCAGATCAACACTTGGTTAAAGTCTTAAATTCAGCTCCTCACAAGCGACTCAGTTATGTTGCTGTTGAAGGTAAACATGTCCAGGGACCGCAGATCATTTGAATAAAACCAGTTTTAATGGTTACATGAAACCTTTAACCTTTGTCTTCAGGTATAATCCAAGCGGATGGAGAGCCTTTGGTCAGCAGGTATGTGCCCCGGTGCTTTGGTGTAATTCAGAAGATCACCACAGAGGAGCACTGGAAGCACTTTAACTTTGCCACTAGGACTTGGTAAATCCATCCTTATCTTACACACACACGTGTTTATGAATGGTCCAGTCTCATAATGTTTATGTTTCAGGAACTCTCGCAGGGTCAACAAGAAGGAGACCAACAACTCAGTGTCGTTCAGTCTGGTCAGCCCTGAGTCCTACCTGCCTGATGTTTATGTGAAGGTGCAACCCCCCCTGGAGGCCTCAGCGTCCATCCTGGAGAGGGTTTATTCCAAAGTGAGGCGTGCTGAGGAGGGTGTGGCAGATTTGGTGCTGCAGACTCTGAGTGGTGAAAAACCTGATGCAGTGGTGGAGAACGAGGAAATGTTACGCGTGGGGAGCTCCCTGATCGGGTTTGGAGAGGTGGTGCTGGAGGAAGGCCGGGTAGCAAAACTGCAGGCCCCTAAGAACGGTCGTCAATACATCCTGGTGTCCAGTGACTACAGGAGCTTCATGCACCGACACGAGGCTTCAGCCAGCATGTGGAAGATGCTGACAGCTGTGACTGGGATCACAGGAGCTGCTCTTCTAGCTGGGGCTGTGAGCAGCTTCTTTGGAAAACAGGACAGAAAGTCAAAGTAGACTAGATTCTTTAGGTGTAAGTCCACCAAATGTATTTCTCAGGTTTTCTCTCCCTGCCTCAGATTTTTACCACAAAAATGGGATGCGGGTTTAGGTTTAATCTCATATTTTGTTTTACATGGGGCAATAAAACCTTTCATTACATTCAGAAGAATGTACAAAATGTTATCACAACACTACAAAATAAGCATTTGCAATGCAAAAGTCATAAATAATAGAGTTTGAGGTGGAAAACGTTTCAGAAAACGATCTTCTATTCAAATGAGCCAGAAAAAAAATCAAAAATTAAAATGTCACTGTTTCATTACAAATGGAGGCATTAGGATAGAGGGAACAGGCTGCTGAGATAAATGTGATTAAAGCTGCTTTTGTAAAATAAGACAAGTTTAACTCAAGAATGAACTTTTAAACATGAATATGTCAAAGCCATATAATGATAAACCCATTCTGTTAATGAGGATGTTTTTAATCGGTTTGGGTTTTCTTGGTGTAAAACTGATGATCCAAGTTTTATTTATTGTAAATCAGACCTAATTGTACTAAAATGTAAACCCTCATTTAGATTTTAAAGAGCTTTCTGCCTCTTAAATCATTCAATGTTTTCTTTTGTGCCGTAGGAATTCAGATGGAGAGTTTTAAACGTAAAAAATAAAAATAAACATACATTAAAGCAAAAGCTGCCTCTTGATACATTTTGTGTTGTGGAAAAGTAAGACTCAGCGAGCAACATGCCGATTCAGTCCAACGGGTTTATTTTAGAACACATTCAGAGGCCAGAGAAATGAGGTGCAGATGAATGTTTGCTTCATCTGTAAAACAGATCCTGATGTGAGAAACCTGCAGCTGTAAAACAACGCTGATCCCTTTAAGCCACACAGGAGTTTATTATAAAAGATGTATAGCTTTAACTGTCCATCACGAAGAAACACTTCTCGTTATTGTCCATCCTCTTCAGATGACTCCTCTGCTTCTTCCAACCACTGGATGAACTTCTGGAGCTGTTGGGAGAAAAACACAAAACAAGTCTTAAAATTCAGCATCTTGCAGACAAACATAAATATTGTTACTGGGATTGAGGTGCTGGATACCGTTTAGTATCAAGGTGTTAGCCTTCATAATCAGAACTGGTCCAACAACACAGATGCTCTGTATAAGAAGGGCCAAAGCCACCTCCTGAGGAGGCTGAGGTCCTTTGGAGTTCATTCCCATCTGCTAAAATCCTTTAATCACTCTGTTGTTAATTCTGCTGTGGTCTGTTGGGGGGGGGGCAGCTCTGACCGAGACAGTAAGAGACTGAACAAGCTAATTAAGAAAGCTAGCTCGGCTCTGGGCTGCCCGCTGGATTCTGTTGAGGACGTGTCTGAAAGGAGGATGATGGTGAACCTGACCTCCATTTTGGAAAGCCCCTCCCACCCACTGCATTCCACTGTGGAGACCATGGACAGCTCCTTCAGAGGCAGACTGAGACATCCCAGATGTAAAACGGAATGCTACCGTAGGTCTTAACTCCTCAGTTTAAGCTGTACTGGCGTGATCCTGGTACACAATTACACCAATGCAACACTTGGTATGTGTTCAATATTTACGCAGTACCAGATTAGTAGGTCTGTGTCCCTTATTCTGCATAGTTCTGGAACCCAAGTTTTTCTTTTTTAGTAGTTGAAGGTTACAGGCTTACTGCCTTGGTGTGTTTACCTGTAATCTTATTTTTCCGTCTTCCTTTCTCGAAGTGTAAGTGCTGCTCTACCGAGTGAATTTCTCCATTGTGGGATTAACCCTTTATAGGGCCAACGTCTACATTTAGACACTTCATAATTAGACCAATCATAGCATGACAATATAAACTGCCAGATTTGAACAACCGAAAGAAATTATGTATATTTTAGGTAAAATCTGTTGGGTTTTTTTTTACATAATTTTCATAAACATGGTAACAGTAATCATAACAATTATAATATTAAATGTATTGTTCTGTTTTTAACTAAGATTTCTATGGAAATTGGAGGACAGTTACTGTGTAAGCCAAGAGGAGGAAGATTAAATTGAGGCAGATCCTCAAATATATAATATTCTAAATATCTATATTGGATCAGAAATGCCATCTATTGTTCTTTAACTTTTAAAAATATTCTACAGTAATCGTTTTTTTTTTAAATATACTATACTTCTTTTTTATTTTAATTACTGAAATGACTTCTTATGCTTTGGGTATAATAATAATTATTGTTGATGATCCGTAATGTGTGTTCAGGAAACCAGGTCATCTTGCACGTTAACCACTTCATGCAGAGGATATCCAGGGGGAAGTTTAAACCATCTCACATGTTCTTTACTCATAACATCAAGCTTTCTGATGCTGAGAGGGCGTGTTCTGAGGGTTTTGTTAAAACCAAATCCCGCAGCAAAAAGTTCTGTTCTTGAACCATACCAGGAGAAGAGGGACGGCCGCCTAAATCTCTACTAAGCATTCTGTCACGCCGATAGACTTGCTTCCAATAAACGCATCTGTAACCTGCTAACGCAAAACTCCTTCAGAGTTATTGATTTTGAGACGCAAATAGTTCCACCACTCGAGTGACCCACGGAGACATCTCAGGACCGATTTGGTTGCACTAAGGTCCTTCTACCAGCCTCGTGCCCGGAGGACATCATCTCCACCTGACATCTCGGATCCAGAAGAGGGTCTCCTGATCTGGGTGAGGTAGACATTTTTGACAGATGGCGTCTGTATGCTGTTTATCTAAGTAACATCAGTTAGCTGCAAAAACAACTTTTCACCCAGAAACGCTTCTCTCGCTGAAAGAAACCTTCTGAGTTTCATTCACGCATCCAAAAACTCGCATTTTCATTTCAGCTTCCATTCAGTCACAGGTTTGCTTTTTAGAACAAGTTTTAATATCAAATTGTCTGTTAAAAATTGTCATTTTTTTAAAAGTGTTAGCAATAAATTCTTAACTTTAAAAACTTGACTCTTCTTTGAAATGAAACACAGAATGGTATATATATTTTTGGTTATTGAAAAAGCAAAGATTCCTAACTTCTGATTCAATAAATAAACTTTTGCTAATAAATGTAACTATCTTAAAATTAAACATTAATCTTTGGATTAAAAATAGACCAAGCTCGTTGGCATATGAACTTCTATCGAATATATAATATCCTAGATATTTATATATGATAGAAGCTTCATTGTTAACTTGTTTGAGCTTTTCTCAGAATCGAACAAAGCTGATAGCAAACAGCGTTGATTCTAGTATGTAGTTAACCACGCTACAATGGAGATAAGCAAACTGCAGCGGGTCCTGATATGTCCTAGTTTGCTTATTCAGGTGGACCAACAGGAGTCTCTCCAGGACCTTCATGATGTGGGATGTCAGGGCAACCGGTCCGTAGTCGTCATTGACTGATGGGCGAGTTTTCCTTGGAACTGGAACAAGGCAGGATGTCTTCCACAGGACTGGAACCTTCTCCTGGGCCAGGCTGAGGTTGAAGAGGTCCTGCAGAATCCCATAGAGCTGCTCTGCACAGGCCTTCAGTACCCTGGGGCTGACCCCATCTGGACCTGCAGCCTTGTTCCTGTTCAGTCTCTCCAGCTGTCTCTTCACCTGACTTCTAGAGACAGATAGGTGGGAGGGGGAGGTAAATGGGGCAGCAGCATCTCCTGACTTGGTTGAATACAGATTTATAGAACCAGAAGAGTCCATGACTGCGTTAGAGGACAAAAGAGCTGGCGTGTGACAGGAAAATGTTGGATCAGAGGAGGATGGGATGTCTGATTGACTGGGGACAGGCGAGGAGGATGCTGGGTTTGTTCCTGAACTGAACCTATTGAAGAACTTGTTCAGTTCATTGGCTGTGTCCAGGCTGCCATCTGTGCAATCCTTCCTCTGCTTGAAGCCTGTGATCTTCTTCATCCCTGACCAGACATCTCTGATATTGTTCCTCTGTAGTTTGTTCTCCAGCTTCTTCCTGGATGCCTCCTTGCTGTCTCTGATCTTGATCTTCAGTTGTTTCTGTATACTCCTCAATAATTCCCTGTCTCCCTCCTTGAAGACTCTTTTTTTCTCATTTAGATTCTTCAGTTCACTGGTGAGCCAAGGTTTGTTATTAGCGAAGCATCTCACTGTTCTGGTGGGTGTGATGTTGTCCACTGATCTAGTGTGTAGACCCCCTCGTCTCTGTTCATGGTTCCGTGCCCACGTCTCCATATCTCTATAGCTTCCTTCATCCATCTTTTGTATTTCTGTTGTTCGGTGTTTATGATCCTTGTGTTGTTCCAGTCCATTACATGGTTTTTGCTTGTGCAGTGATCTGTTACGGCTGACTTCTGTATTGAGCTTTCTGCTTCTTGTCTTGCTGCTCTTGTGTGTCTTCAACTTGTTCCTTTTTCACTCCTTTCCATGTTCTACTGTTCTTGTGTCGAGTTGGCGTCCGGTTTCTCCGATGTATATTTTATTGCAGAAATTGCATGGCATTTCATAAATGACTCCACACTTATGTCCTGCTGATGTCCTGACGTGTGTGCGTGTGTGTGTAACCAGTTTGCCCCGCTTGTTGATATCGAAAACTGCGCTGAACCTGCTGCTGTGTATTTGTTTGTATTCGCATTTATTAAATCCATCTTTTGCTGTAAAAATTGCATTTAAAATGATAGAAACGCTGTGTTTCTCCACAGGAGTGTGTGTGTGTGCGTGTTTGTTCAGGAGTGTGTGTGTGTGCGTGTTTGTTCATTTTCATCCCTCTAGTCTGTTTAGATACACAAAAATGATCACATTTATCAATGTTTAATTTTGAATTTTTTTCTTTTTGTTAAATTTGCCGGCCTGCCTCTTCTGTTTCGGTTTGACTTCCTGCCAGAATTGACGTGGCTCACGAAAAAATTTGAGCTCCAACGATCGACGGCCGAAACGATCGCTGCACGGCGCGAGCCTTCGTGGCAGGCTGATGTGACAGAGGGCGTGGGTTAACAAGGTCGCCGATTAGAAGCGCTCGTCGTTCGACGGCGCTTCGCTGCGCGTCGTCGTGCTTCCACGTCCAGTGTGTTCCAGGCGTGAATGTCTTCAACATGGCCAGGAAAGTCTTGCTGTTTTCACCTAAAACTCTCACGATGATCATGTCTAGGATGACGCCTACATGCTGCAGCAGCGATTCGGTTAAAGGGAAACTGAAACGTAAATGTAGCTGCTGTCAGTAAGAAACTAAGACTTAAAACATTAAAACGTTCAACAGACTAAATAGTTTAAAAAAAAATAGAAATTTCTCACAACTTTGCATGTTGTGAGATTTTTATGTGATTATTATTATTATATTTATTATCCCTATCAGCTCCTAATGACCAGAACCCAGTGTGGTCCACCACAGAGAAAGCTGCTCTATCATGACTTTAACTATTTTACAGGTTGTTGCTCAGCCTTCCGACGGTCACGCTCACACAGACGAGTGTTGGTGAGTGGCTGCGTTTGACTGCTGATGCTGTGTGTTTTTATTTCTGCAGTGAGACAAACTCACCTCACGGAGTTTGTTCATTAAAACTCGTGGGGAATCCACCGTGTTGAAGCATTCTACCGAGCTTCCTCTGCACCGTATTTTTTGCTGCAGGAATTAAACTTTACTTTCTGACGTTAAAAGTTCAGCAGACGCGTTTGTTTACATTTTAAAGTGTGAGGGAGTTGGGGGGGTCGACGCTGCTCCCAGGGTCTCTGCAGGCTACTGCACAGTGCAGTGGCTGCATGGTGACGCAGTGGTTAGCACTGTTGCCTCGCAGCACAAAGGTCGCAGGTTCGAAACTCGGCTGCGGCCTTTCTGCATGGAGTTGCGTGTTCTCCCCATGCATGCGTGGGTTTCCTCCGGGTACTCCGGTTTCCCCCACAGATTCTTCTTCTGGCCGGCAACCTGGGAATCAAACCTAGGAATTGAAATAAAAAACTCTGAATGATTCCAGGGAAAACTGACGGTTAGTCCCGGCTCCAATCGACGCTCGATGCCCAACCCTAACAATAACACCCTGGATTTGAAATTCTTAATTGTTAACTACTTCAATGAGCGCCCTATAAAGGGTTAATAATGTTTATTCTATTCTTTTCTGCCACAAGACAAGTCACGTCCTCATCAGCTGACTGTCCCGTTTTGAATCCTCCAACAGAACCGTGCGTTCTCTCAGACAGAACCTACCCCCTGGTTCTTGCGGAGCTGCCTGCTTTGATCTGTTGTGGCTCCCTGAGAGAACCACCGCAGAATCATCTCCTCCTCCAGGATCTCCAGCTGGTACATGTTCATTAAAACCTGGAGTGTAAACAGAAAAAGTAAATGAACACATGGAAACATCCACACGGTCACGAGAAACTTCCCTGACTGATCCAGACCTTCACCATCGCAGCCCAGTGGCCCTCCTGCTCCAGGAAATGTTCCTCAAAGGCACCCAGGCAGTCCAGGTGGTCCTGTGCTCTCTTCACATAGTTCTTAAAGACTGGAGCCCACTTCTTCAATAACTAAGAGCAGAAAAAGAAAGTTACTTATGTCTGAACAAAAAAAAAGTAAGCATGTTTGCTTCATTAAGTCACCGGCAGGAGCAGAGAAACATATTGTGAGGCGCTCAGATGTGCATCCTGCTGCTGGAACGGGTACTCCAGCACCACCCGGGTTAAAATCTGCATCACCTCCTTCAGAGTGATGTTGTAGGCATACCTGGACAAAAACAAGGAGTTCAAACAAACAAAAAACACACAAAAAAAAAGCGTAAAACAGAGTTCAGAAACTTGACCTACTTCAGAGAATTTATTTCAAGCACAAGATTGTCACAGCTGATGTTCTCCTCCAAGCCTCTCTGCAAGGTCCCGATCACCTCCATCTGGAAGACTGCACAACAGCAACATTCAGGCGCTTTGAGTTTTAAATGGCCTCTATGAGCTCACTGAAACATGTGAAAATATGAAATTTAACCAGCCGTGGGCAGTCACACACGTCAACATCCAGATGGCTTCTCACCTTTGACGTCGTCCATCTCAGGAGACAGGCTCACCGGATCATCCGGGCCATCCGGCTCACCGTCCTCACTGTCGCTCTCCGGATCCGGGTTCAACACCAAACCTGGTCGTATCCAGTAAACATTATTAATTAAACTGAGTCGGGATTCACGCGTCTATATGATGGGATGTGTCTCCTACCCCAGAGACACTGAGACAGCTCCTCGTCCTCTGTGTCATCCAGGCTGCTGGCCTTCCAGATGTAACCTCTCCCTTCTGCTCCAACCTCAGCTGGGTTGAAAACTGGGAGACAGAAGAAAGTACAGATGTATTCCTACATTTCACTTTAGTTATTCAAATCAGAGTCATTTCAAACCTTTCTGCTTGGTTTTGTCTTTACTGTGTCCAACTTCAGCATCATCACTGAGGAACTCGTCAGCATCTTCCTCCTGCTCCTCCTCGGGATGATGCATGGACACAACGGTTCCTTCAGACAGACACACGTTTGGTCCTATCACCACCTAAAACCAGTTCAAAGTCTAATTACCACACAAAAACCTAGAGACGCCACCATTTGGTGCCTTTTTGTACCCAGATGTGTGATGGTGTGTTTGTAGCTTACATTATAAGCCAAGACACATTGTTTGTTTAGGGTCACGCCCTCTTTGACCTCAGCCTTGTCACAGACCACAGACTGCCTGATCTCAACGTTACTGGCAATGTGAACATTATTCCAGATGTAGGCGTGGTCCAGGACTACGTTGTCGCCTGTTGAAAGAAATTATTAGAAAATATCAGGGACTTTTCTGTAACCTGATGCACAATCACCCGTTATCTGACAGTTTCTATTCGTGTAATCCAGACTATGCTGACCTATGGTGCAGTTGTCCCCAATGACGCTGTTTGAGAGACAGCAGTTGGCGCCAATGCTAGTGTCGCAGCCAATGAGAACGTTCTCCTTCATCTGGCTGCCGTGGCCCAGGCTGACTCCGGACCCGCGGTACACATTGTGGCGAGAGTACGTGCAGCTGCGGCCCTCCTGATCCGTGAAGTTGGACTCGGGCGTGATGGGGTAGAACCATCGCCGCACAAAGTCAGACGACACAGAATCGTACATGAGTAAGTTGGACACGCGAACACCGTAGCCATCGTGAGTGGCGTGTATGTGGATCTGATTACCAAGTATCTAAACAGAGAAAATATATTAGAACTCATCTAAAAGGTACAAGGAGAACACAGCGTGATGTGGAAAAACAGCTCTGAGGCACCTCTTCATTGACCAATAGCCCTCTGACAAAATCATCCCTAGTTTGGTAATCAAAGTTATCTGTGAAGAGCTCGGCGACCTGGAAAAAATGTGCAGAAATTTTTATTAAAGTTGCCAATAATACAATTCAGGATTTTATATGTATTAAACCTCACCTGTGGAGAGCAGATACTGATGTGGCAGTCCAGAAGGTCATGTCTGATTTCAAACTCATCACTACTGCTGTGAAAAATGTTCTGCAAAACATCAACAGAAGCATCTATTAGAGATCTACCAAATCTAAAAGTTTGATCATCTACCAGTGAAACAGCAGCTTACCATGGGAAACTGCAGCTTCTTCAGCCCTTGTGTCTTCTGGTAGTGTAAAATCTGCTGACTCTTACTGTCCACAGCTACAACAACATCATCTTCCTCACAGCGTGACCTGTGACCTGGAGATGAATCCTTAAAGATCATGGTCATCACGGAGATATTCTTCTCCATCTTTCGCCGGTGCCTGAGGTGTGCGAAACCCAGTTTAAGTGCATAAACTCCACAGACTGATGAGTAAAGAAGAGACTCTTGTACCTGTGCTCCTGCAGAGCCTGACTGACATCAATGTTTGATATGACATCTCCATAAACCAACACAAAGTCAGATCGCACAAGAGACTTTGCATCGACATCCCTGAGCACGTCTCCGAGGGAGCGGTACAGTTCTGAGGTGATGATGTGGACCGTGTTTGGAGAACTGGGTCGACACCACTTTGAGTTCCTGTCAGGTGAAACATCAGATCCACCTCTTTAGTTTAAATTAATCAGGAAGCACTGAATCACCCACACACTCAAACACTCACAACAAATGCGCCTTGATTTTACTGGCCATCCAGCAGCAGAAGACAAATGTTTCCTGCACTCCGGTGGACGTGAGGAACTCCAGAGTGTAATCGATCATGGCAGCATTGCCCAGCGGGAGCAAAGCCTGACATCACAGTGACAGTAAATAAAATGTAAATATCATCATGTCTGTCTGGAAGATTAGGAATAATTCTAACACGTTTTCAAATAAAAAAAAAGTTTAAACGTATCTATTTTTTATTGTTTATTAACGAGTTTCTATCAGTTTATAGCAACTCTGTCTGTTTACAGCAGAACATCACTTAGCTAACATTAGCATGTTAGCTTAGCTCGCTGCTTACCCGTGGCTGGTCCTTAGTCACCGGGAAAAACTTTCGGTTAAAGCTGTCAGCGACTAGGACGGCCTGCAGCGGCTGCTCCTCCTCCTCCTGCTCCCCGGCACCTTTCCTACCCGAAATGCCGGAGCCTGAACGACTCTGTTGTTTTCCTCCTTTCCCAGCCATGTTTGACTCCGAGGTGCACAAGTGTGTCGTCAGAATGGACTACGGTGGTCGTGACGGGACAATTTTTTGCGCAAACATGTATTCTTTATTACTTTATTCGTATTTACCTAAAAATCAAAGTTGCGCTAATGACGATTTTTCTTATGATTTAAAACCCTTTTGTCGTCTTCAAGGAACACTAAGAAAAAAATTAGGCATAAGAAACCAGACTTGACATCATGTCTTCCTGGTCCAAATGATAAATACACACTCCACAAAAACATACTAAATCAACACACACTACATCAAGTTGGCTCTTTATGAGAGCCAGACAAAACAGAATTTATGTTACTAACTTTTCTTCTGAAACAGATTTTATGAAATCACGACGCATGTTCCACTTGGCAGACGTTTCTTTTAAGAAGATACCCACCCTCTAACAAAGCTAGCCCACATGTAGCTCACGCTAAACACAAACAACAACAGATGTGTTTCTGATGATCCCAGACAACGCGGCACCACACCATCCATGTTTCTAATTCAGAATGAATGATCATCTGGGGAATAAAACAAAAACGTACACCTAATGTCAAATATGTTACAAGTTCCCCTTTAACTCAGGTGTGGTCATGCAAATGCATGCACATAATTAAATGCAGAAACTTGAAATCTGGATTTAAATATTAGCTTCAGCTTTATTTGCACATTAACATTAACAGTGATTGGAAGAAGTGAGAAGAATCTCCAACTCCAGTCAAAAACTACAGTGTTTAGTTCTAATGCACATCTAAAGTTTCTTTAATGGCAGCGTTGTAATTTAAGATCCAAGCACAGCAATGAATTGTGAAGAAAAAAATTTTAACCAAACATTTTTTACATAGAATTCTTCAAATTATATTTTCTCCCTCGTTGCAAGCGATGAGTACATTTTCCGTATTTGATGGATGTGATTCCTGTTGTATTTTAGAGGAAGCAAAAGTGAAAATGCTTAAACATAATCAGTTTTATCTTCAGCGTGATGAGTACATATCAGTCATAAAGCTCTCAATCAAAACATTTTCAGAATCATTTTAAACAAATCAAAGAACATTCGAAGTAACTAGCTTAACTCAAGCAGAGACTAAAACATCAGGCTTTTGTCACTCATGTTTAGACAGAAACCCTCATTAGCAGCTCTGCAGAAGCTCAACAGTTCTTCATGATATTCCAGATTACAGGTGGTGTTTGGTAATCTTCTCAGCATGCTCCAGGACTGATTTGCATCTGAGGGTTTTGCTCATCCACGACGTCGGGATTCCCTCAATCCCAACCTAGAATCAAAAAAGCAAATTTAATTAAACAGCCCATGAAAAGTTTCAGGACATTAGAGATGTTACATTAACAGTGAGACCTGAGCTCCAAGACACGCTCCAATGAAGGATGCTCTGCTGCAGGTGCACCCCCCACAGCTCATGGTGTCTCTGATGGCCGACTCAAACCGGGAGGCTGTCAGGACGCCGTGTAGCGCTGCTTGAAAAGCACCTGGTAAACCTAAATCCACAACAGAAGCATTTAGCTCATTCATCTGACCGCACCAGTAAGCTTACATTTTAATGACAACATTTAAGTTAACTGTACCTCAGGTGTTTGGAAACACAGAGGGAATCATCTCCTGTGGAGTCTTTGATAAACTCTCCTTTACCTGATAAATGTGTCCTGAAATCAGGCAGAAAAGACTCGGCTCATTAAAAGAGAAACGTGAGCGGGTCGCCTCCAAGTCATTTGTTTTAGCTTCACATCATGAAAGTTCATCTAATCGCACATGTATGAAACACTTTAGCAGAATCAGGGTAAAGCTTGCAGCAGGTCTCACCGATGACTGCTTTGTCCAGATCCTGAGGATGTTTCCTGTTGGGGTCGCGGAGCTGATTCAGCACCACGTCCAGAACTTTTGGATCTGGACCGTTTATGATGAAATGCTCCAGAAACCTGGGAGAAAATGATAAACGTGCAGGTACTTTGGTTTAACCCCTATCTGTGTTTGGAGTCTAATTCTTGCCTAACCGGCGATTTGATGATTTATTCTGCTCACTGGCACAATCTAAACTCTAAAAGTGGGAAATCTTTAAATAAGTCATCAACTTATATTGAGCTTTACATAACTTACCAGTTATTTTAAACTGTGATGGTGATTCAAATCAATCTAGAGACCGTACATGCAAACTTACATCTCCAAATGAATAATGAATCAATGAATTCATTCAATATTCAATAACAAGACATGAAATGATATTTTATAATTAAATGACAATTGATTTTGAGCCACCACTAAAACACTTGTGCATTTGATCTATTCTGTACATTTTTGTGATTTTTTCTTCTGCAAATATTTTTTTTATTATTTTACATGAAATCTAATCTGGCACACTGAAGCTGTGTTTTATATCTGTTTTATTTTCCTATTCTAATTTACTTTTGGTGATTTTCAAGGAAATCTTTTAAAAATCCTGATTGAGGATTCAAGAGCATCTCATGACCTACACCACAGATATTAACATGGGCTGAAGTTATAGCAGCTGTACTAACCTTGCTGCCGCCAGAGTTTCTGCCACACATTCATCGTTGTTTTGGGTGACTCGAACTGCCTGTTCCACCTTTTCCAGCATGTCAGGCTGGCCTGCATAAAACGCCACTACAGGAGCCATCTTGGCTATTCCATCGATCTGACAATCGGTTTCACATCCTGCAGCAAAGACAACACGTTCATCAGAGTTGTTTACTGTATTTTCACGACCATAGGGCGCCGCTTTAGTTACGGTGTCTTTTTGGTATGTAACACATACAAAAGGCGCACCGGGTTATAGGGCGCGGGCGAGGGCACGGTAAAACGTACCAGTAAAACATCTGTGCGGGCTCGGGACTCGGAACATATCAGTGCAAACCAGACATTGTGAAAATTATAAACAGCCAAAAGCATGTTTCAATTTACTGGTCTAATCCTGGTTCAGACCTGGTTTAGAGCACACGTGCACTTCCTCAATGCGTGCGCTGACGGCTCAAGCTCTTCTAATGGGCTCGACACACGGGAGGCAACTTCGCCTCTCCTCCATTCATTTTCAATGAGACATGCGCGACAAAGCGATAATCGCGGGTCTCCCTCCTACTAACCCCCAAATTCCACTACCTCCGCTCCGCTACGAACGCCGGAGCAAAATCGGTCCCGTTGTAGTCAATCAGAGCTATTCCACTACTGCGGCCGTGCTGCGGCAGTGCACCGCCCTCTGTTCCGGCGTCCGGCAAAAATAGAATCGATCCTATTTTTGCCGGACGTCGGAGCACCTCCGCAGTCAACGGACAGAAATCACAACCGCCCAACAGGAAAGGGAGCAAGCACAACTTCCGTTATTTCACAATAAATCGATAAACAAAACGTTTTTTGTTTCATAGGCACAGGTTTAACAACTTTTAACAACTATCAATGGCGGCTGAAGTTTAAATGCACAAAAGTAAGCCATAAATACAGTTTCCACTATCAAAGTAGTCACACTTTGTTGATCCAGACACTGCTGATCTCTCAACACAAATGAAGGGCAGATTAAACAGTTCATGCCGATGCTTCTCCCACACAACGGGTGTTTGGATCTAACTTCCGCGTTTATTGCTCTGACTGTATTGCAAGATCTCGAAAATCCCGCGCATGCTTGTTTGCGCACCTCAGGTCTCCGCACCGGAGCGGAGCCGTTGTAGAGCGGGTACCAGTAAAAATTGAGTTCGGTAGTTAGTGGCTGCGGAAGGCGGGTGCGGAGCAGAGCGGAGGTAGTGGAATTTGGGGGTAAAGCCGGGCGTACACCGGGAGTGCTGCAGGAGGACACACAGGGATTTATGGGGGTTGGATGAGGAAAACGAAATAAAGAAAGTAAATCTGTGTTTTGTGATCAGTTTAATTTGACATGAACACGACAAAAACGCTTTCTTGACAATCATTGTGAGTAAAAAACGCGTAGAAATAAAAACGAACAGCGTGTGTTATTAGGGAAATAGCGGGCGAGCGGTGTTGATGCATGATTGCGCATGCGCCGAGAGCGGTTCTGGTACTTTTTGGGTCGCAGCTGCTCGCAGCGCCACTTCAAGCGCTGTGTTGAAGTTCAGAATGTGCGCAAAAAGGAGCCGCTTTGCGGGGAAAGGAGTGGCGCGAACGGAGTAACAGCAAACAATTAGACAGATATTGACGGTAAACTTCATATTTTGGAGCGATCCGGGCAGATATATTGTCTCCGCAGTTTAGTAGGCTTTTATTAGGCTTATATAAAGGATGATGAGAAGGATAAATGTCCACCAGGCAGTTCAGATAGTACGGCTGTTTTTTGAACTGGAAGCAGAGGAAGTGGACGGAGACTCACAGCCGGAGTCTGAGGCAAACAGCGAGGATGTTGATGACGATGTGGCAGATCCACAGGTCTGTCTTCGCTCACGTCTGCACGTTCACGCTACGCCCCATGTCTTCTACTACGTTCGCGTCTCACAAGAACACAATAGGCGCACCACACCATAGGGAGCGGCGTACATTTTGGAGAAAATTTAAGACTTTTAGATGCGCCTTATGGTCGTGAAAATACGGTAATTATCTGAGTAACGAATCGGTAAAGGAGCTTTACCCGTCTCCTCCTTTCCAGCATCAACATTCTTTAGGAAACTCTTCAAGCTGGCCTGCCTCCACGGTCCCTCAATGGGCAGCTGTGGTCTTGGCCCTGGTTTATAAATGAACAAAGACACCACTGTGAGGTGTGATCAAAAACCTACACTTAAAAGACTTTCATCTGTAACAACTAGAGAGCTCTCATACCGCCCCTGTCTCGGTAAGGATCGTTGACAGGCGTGTCATATTCTGATCCTGGTCCAAAGAATTTCAGCGTTCGCTGCTTCAGATCATCAACATTTAGACCTGTTAAGAAACAGCAAAAATTTGTTGTTTTAACCCCAATTCAGCTATAAACTGTTATTTTTCCAGACAAGAGAGAACTTTGTGTTAAAAGCTCGTATCTAAGCTCTAACAAAAGTCTGCTGAGTTGTAAGCCTTCAACAGGGTCTTAATCGTAAAACCATGTCCCACCTCTGCACTCTGAGAGGGACTCCAGGAGGATATACGCCTGGTCTCCATAGCAGCTCTGCTGGCCTGTCTTCCTCCTGTAGAAGGGATTGGCTGACTCAGAGCGAAATTCAGGGTTTGGATCCTGAGCCAAAATCCCCCCCAGCTTCTGGAGATCATACAGCCAGTGTAGGGGCTGCGCTAGAGGAGGAATCATATCACAATTTCATTCTTGTTAAAAAAGTTTAGTTAACTGATGCTCCGAGTGAAACTGCATCATAAGCAGCTACAATTGTTACCTGCAGCATCTGCAACAGCTGATCCTACAATGGCTCCTACACCTCTGTTGGCCACAGCTGACGTCATCTGTTAAGAAATAATTAGTTACTTGATTGTTGTTCTGATAGTAAATTATTTTTCTGTACGTGGCGGAGACATTTAATGCGTGGACGTTGAGTTCATTTAATCAAATCATTAGGCTTTTAATGCATGACCCCCACAATTGCGCCTCTCTCATGATCAATCAAACCACCTCACCTGATCAATGTAGCTTTAAAAAAATACAAATCTGTCTGATCTGCACACTGCCTCCTTATCTTTATTACACAGGTACAAATACTACTTGAAAACTGTTAGCAGTAGCGTTCAGCTCCGTTAGCTTTTAGCAACCCAGTTAAAATCATACAGCTAATGTAAACTGATGGATATAAAAACACTGACCTTGGTCTCTGTTTAATTTCTAGACGTTTTCCATCATTTGAAGGTGAAAAATGTTGACTTTACGCATTTATAACACGTAGCATGAAATGTTTTTGTTACGAAAGTTAGCCTGTTAAGCGCCTCTAGATGATATTCTTCTTTACTTCTTTTTCTGTTAGCTCCGCCCACTGGAGCTAACAGACTAACTTTCGTAACTTCATCGCGCATTATCGCCACCTACTGGAATGGAGTGGGAAACTTAACCCTGCCAATTTCTAAAACACCAAATAAAGAAATAAACACAATAATAGCAACATAAATAAACAAATACATCTAAACAAGAATCCAACAGCATAAAACTGCAACAACATCTAAAAGTAAAAAATAAAAAAAATAAAAAATAATAATAATAAATAAATAAATAATAAAAACACTACCAGTAATCCAGTTAATCAGCAGAAGGAAATACCAAGAAGAACCAGACTGTGAGTTCAAAACTCCATCCAATCAGATGACTGTTGTTTATTTTATTTTTTTTAAAACACTAACAGTAAAAAAATAAAATAAATAAATTCCCAACAAATCATTAAATAAATACATGTATCTCAGACTTTATGGAGACTGGGATTAACATTCAGAGTGCTTTAACCCAGGCTATAATCATCTCTTCTAAAAGTTCCAAATAGCTAAACAAAAGCTAAAAATAAGCTGCTGAAGGTTCTCGGTCATCTACTTTGTTTTCTTCATTTGAACTCTTTAGGATTCAAAAGCTAAAATGCTTAATACCAGTTCCAGCTACTGGAGAGCAGCAACTCCCCATCTTCCCTTTTCTGAAATCAGAGTGTTGTTCTATTTTGTGCAAGTGGAGGACCCAATTGCTCGCTTTTTAAATGAAACAATACATTTAGAGCACGTATTTTATACTAAGAAGTAATTTTAGACAAAGAACAAACTGTAAAACAGATCTGTGATTTTATTCTGCTAGTGGTTACTTAAAAATAACAACTAACAGTAAAATAAACTGATATTTAAACAAATAAATGAAGCTCAAACTTTAAGGAAGTTGGAATTAATTCTAAATTACTTCAGCACCCTCAAAAGCAGGCTAGAAACTCCTATGAGGAGGCTAAATATTCTCTTCTTATTGGTTATAAGTTCAAAAGTTTAATACCAACTTCGGCCGCTGGAGAGCAGCAAGTCCCCATCTTCCAATCTCCAAATGGTGATGGAAATCACCGATCTGTAAATACCAGATTCGTTTGTACCAGAGGGAATACAATCTGCTGCACCTGACTTAAGGAGAGCCTGGTTACATGAAAGAACATCCGAGGTGGTGGACAAGTGCATCATGCTTGGGGATGTGCCACAGGCTGTTGCTGGTGTCAGTGAATCCCCCCTGAGCTCTACTCATAAGAAACATCCCTGTAGAGTTCATGGTTGTCAACAAAGTTACACCCATCTCAAATCCCGAGACAATCATGAGCTTAAAAAGCATCACATACAGATGTCTTTGACAGAACTGCATGAACACACACCACCTTACAACCGTGATCACAAACAAGAACACACCTTGGCGCGGCTTAGCTTTGGGTTCTTTCTCATGGACATGTTGGATGCTGTTAAAGAGGGTGATGGGGAGAGACTAATGAGGTTGTACAGGGTAGCCCTACTGTATTACAAAGCATACGGTCACAGCCATTATGCCTACAGTACCTTTCTACTGATGCTGCAGGTAAACGCATCTCTGCCACCCCAGATGGCACACAGCGTAACCTGGAACAGGTTTTGGAGCACCCGGGGTGGGAAGGGTTGCAACGTACCCCTTGATCTTCATCTGGAACACCTGAATAACTTCCTCAAGTCTTTCTTGAAGGGTCTGGGTTCACATTTGTCTGAAGAAGCAGCACGTCGGGTCAGTCGGTGCAGTGGTGTATTTAGAGGAATGATGGACAAAGTAGATGGCGAGTTGGGTGTCAAAAGTCCAACTGGCACCCATCATGCTGCACAGCAAGAAACTGATGTTTTAACACTGGTAGAGGTTTCCAAGGATGAGCAGTTGTTTAAAGTTATTCATGGTCGACAGTTTCAGGCCTTCCCAGGCTTTGATCAAAATCTTCTGCAGATTACACATAAAGATCTCCGGCAGTGGACGAACGGAAAACTGAAGGAGTGGAGAAATCTGAAAATATGAAGGGCACACTTTGAAACACTATAAGGTCTGTAGACACACTGTAAATGCTTTGTCAGTGTGTGTGCGTGTAGTGTGTGTGTATATATATATTTTTTACTATTTCATTACCTGTCCCGTGACTTACTCAAGCAAATGTTTTTGGCAGCATTTTGTTTGTTACTAATGTTGAATGAAACACAAAGAAAAGAAATTACTTTGGGATTTATTTACATGTAGCCATCTGAGAAGACACACAGTGACAAACATTAACAATATAGTTGTTTAAAACAGTAAAAGAATGTTGTAGGGGCTTATAACAGTAAATCAGGAATAGTATTTACACTAACAAGAAAAAATTAAACAACCTGCATAAATGTCAGTTATTACACATTATGACATGTTTTGCCATTGACGGTCTGGTTAAAAGGCATAACTATTTAACAAACATTAATTACAACTTAATTGTTTTCAGAGTCGGTACTCAAAGCAGAAAGGCCAGATCCTAAACTGCTACATCATGAGAGGCCATTCCCCTCGGTGTCCTCATCAATGTAACCCATGTAATTTGGGTCTGGGACCACAAAGTCGTCTGGAGGAAAATCTAATTCTGTGAATTTAAAATCTTCAAATACTTCAAATAATATCCTGAGTATTTCTTGGGCGTGCCTTTTGCTGAACACTGGGAGATTGTTCATAATAAAGTTCAAGTCGAATATCTCTGCGCAGTGCTCCAGAACAGCGTTGATTAGCTCATCGCTAAAACCGGTACAATATGAGCTGTTTGTGTACAGACGACTTCCAGGATTCAAGCTGAGCTGGTAAGTGTGTAACAGATTCTGAATCAGATCTTTTTCATCCTCCGTAACCTCTCTGATTTGGCCTGGTGCAGAAACCTCCAGTGGTGCCTGTTCATATTTAGGTACAGCCATGTCACAACCTGCTGAGGTACATGAACATACAGAGTGGCAGTATGTGCAGCACAAATGTCCCGGCACAACACTGTCAGTGTCGTTCTCAAATTGTGAGAATAGTGCCTTTCGAAAGCAACTTTTGCTGCTATTTTTTAGAAGCGTTCTAAGTCCCTCATCCACATTTGTGTTTAAATTGAGTCTGTAAATAACGGCATGTGACAGAGAACCATCTCTCCCGGCCTTACCAGCTTCCAGCAGAATGGCCTCCACATCCTCTGGTACACCATACATAACAACATGAGATATTTTAGGAAAGTTTAGTCCCATTCCCAGAGCACTTGTTGCCACAACAACTCTGCAGGGGCCATCTCCACCAAATGAATCCAGAATTCTGCGTTTGTTTTGAGGAAGGGTGTGACTATGAAACATCCCGATTCTTAAATTTTCTGCCCTGCGTTGTGGATCTTTATCGGCCCAACAGTCCTCACCAAGTTCTGCTTTCAGGTAACAGAACACCCTTCCGACAGCTGTCAGTGTTCGACAGTAAATGATTACTTGAAACATGTTGGTGTCATGCTCTTTCAGCTCTCTCACAATCCAGTCCAGGCAGTCAAAAGTATGGGAAGACACTGTGATAAGCCCAAA